ACAAAAATTATTTCATCAAATTAAAGACGACAACAGTTACAAGGTATGCATTTACTGAGGGATTTTTTGGTATCTATTTCCTGGACAAATTGTTCGTATTTTAAACTATATGAAAAAAAATATTAAATAGATAATTTTATACGTCTATAATTATTCTATCGAAAAAAAAAAAATCTTCCAATGAAAGCTTATCAATCTGTTCGTCATTAAATTGGTGAAATAATTTTTGTTTAAATCTATTAAATTCAGCAGAATACTACCGATAATACGAAAAAACATTTTTACTATTATGTCCTGCAGATAGCCAGAAAAGGGAAATGTAAATGCGTTACGCGCTCTTAATTATCTACTCGAATATGTGTGTAGAGTTTCCACGTGTAAAACACAGATTTAAAAAAAAAAATCACAAACTCTAGGTTTAATTATTTTCACTAACAACCTATAATGTGAACGATAACAATATTATAAAAAATTAAAAAAAAAAAACGTTTCTATTACACGTTCAACTTAATTGTATTTAATTATCATAACTAAAAAGATTAACTTTTGACGATTAAATTGGTGACTTCATAATCTTAATTTGAAACTTAAGTGAGATAACAATATTAATTTGATTAACATGTCCATCCTTGTATATTATTACTCTGCACTGCGTGACCTATAATGTGTCTTGCATAGGGTGAGCTTTTGAAAACTTTACGCGATCTACTCTGCTATACTGTAACATCGAATCCCCTCTTACGAGCGACTTTTTAAGTACGTCGTATTGTGCCTACTCGCGGCACATCCCGAAAGAATATTGCCGTATTACGGAAGAAAGTTTTTTTTTTATTTGCCGGTTTTAATTTTATTAATACGGAACTTAAACCATAAAGAATAGTAATAATATACGATTCTTAAACCCCGAACGATTTACGACCAAAAAACATGTTATTTTATTTTTCCTGTGTCCTATCACAGAGTTTTTAATCTCGATTAACGGACGATTTCGCCGAACAACGTTTCTGCAGTTTGCAGTGGTAATAATTAAGAAATGGATTTTGTAGCAAATACATATTTTTATTGGAATGAGAAAATCTGATAAAAATGGTTAATGATTAATGTCATTATAATATTTAAATAAGCTAAAATAAGTTTGGCATATTTTTATATATTTGGGTGTAAATACATATATTTACATATTTGGTAAATAAGTACATATTTTGTAAACATTTAAATAGTTTTTGATTTTTTTCATTGATTTTCGGCGACGAAAAACATTATTTGCTTTATCTAAATTTTGAACGTTACGGATTAAAACTAATTTAGCGATTAATGAATGAAAAACGATGACGATAGTATGTGCTGTATACAATATACACGTTATGAATCGTGGATATTGGTAATGTCGGACGATATAAAATATAAAATAAGGAAGAAGTACTTGACAATCGGTTTTCATAATATTCGTAGTCGTATTTAGTCTCGTGTACGTGTAGTTTCCTACTTTCAAAATGCCAAAAGTTGTGAAATCGAAAGCGAATTATTATTTAAAAGGGTTTCTTAACAAGACACAGGAAAAATATGGAGCAATAGGTATTTTATTCTGTCCGTACTGTGATAAGGTAGCATCAATATTTATTTATTTGCAAACCTTCAACAATACGTTGTTTCTCATTGCTTTGTTCCGAAATAATAATCATAGTTTTATACACCTACATCATTTGTGCTATTTTTATTTATTATTTATAATTATAAAATATTGTTTTTTTGTAATTTTCAATACTAATACATTTTTTCGATACTTACATATTTTGGATTTTTTTATTCCGTATTTTAAGAATAACTGGTATATATATATTGATTTTTTTTATCGATTTTACATAGATTTTTTTACCGTTCCCTAGCAATAATATTGCAAAAACATAATGGATCGCATAATATTATATTGCAATAATAACTATTATTAATAACACCGAGGACGCTTTTGGCTCTTTTGTTTATTGCGTACGTTTTTATATCGATAATTCATGAGTGTCGTTTCCATATAACGTCATCGTAATATTGCACAATATTACTACAATATTGTTGAACATAAAAAAAAAAAAAAATGCTAATACTACTGATGGATGTGCAATCGTTGTATTAAAGATAGGTTACAAAGATTTAATTGGTTTGTATTTGTACGCAACCGCGATAAACTAAAATGCTAACAAAATACGATTAAACGAATTGTGAAATACCGTGATTTATTCGATTTGATCACAAATTTGAACTTTAAAAAGCTCATGAAAAATATTTGCTGAACTCACTCATGATGTAAGTTCATACCACCATTGATGTGCAAATAAATATTTTGTCCTAATGCCAGGCATCTACGATTATTTTTTCAACCTAACTACAACGAAAATACAAAATGGAAAATAATGAAATCGGTATTGCGGTAAATGTTCCCATTTTTCCTGCGTTTTTCTCGAGTTTTCCCAATTATTAGGAAAGGTACAAGCAAACTGAAATACGACCACTCTAATTCATCAACTACATATGGTTTGCATTCATAAAAGATGTTACACTTAAAATTTGAAGAAAGATTCCAAATAGAAAAATTATTTACAGATAGAAAAAAAAAACACATAATGTTAAAACCAATAATACGTAGCTGCAGATAGAATCTAAGAATTTATTATTAAACCAATTGAACCTGTCTCTTATTTAGTATATTTTATTTAAATCAATGTAATAGTGTACGTTTTTTTTTATTAATAAATAGGGTACTATAATTTAGTGTAGGTATACAATAGTGCAGGTAATAAGTATACAATTTTACGAGTATCTGTATACTATACAGTAACTCGATACAGGTACTAAATTTACTATACAGTGTATAGTAAATTTCCAATCGTCCAAACATAACGTTTCCGAGATATGGAATAATAACAAATACGGTTACCGCGGTATATATATGACTATTATTATAATATTTTAACGGTATCGTTCGGACCGATATTCCGTAGGGCATTCTAACGTGCCTTTTTAATAATATTACGAAGAGATACTGGGTTTTTAACGATCGACAAACATATTTTTTTTCGACCAAACATTTTACAACACCAAAACGAAATAAATAAATATCGCCATCCGGGCAAATATTTTATTGGGTCATCTCGGTTTTATATTTATTTGTTATCAGCAAAAATCGAAATGTTTGCGACGACTCGACCGTCATCAGACCGGACACGGACCACTTTACGCGACATACGGGTGATAATTAAGTCGAACCGATTTCATAAATTTTATTGATTGAATCGAATCAATTACATTCGTTTTGTTAATTAATAGAAAATAAACAAGAAATAGATAATCAGACAAAAACTTTGAATGAAAACCCACGACTTCCCCATTATATAATTTTCTTTTTGTTTGTTTGTCCTAAATATAAGTAATTCGGTTTTGTCCTGGGCTATGTGGTTTGTTTTGTTGATTTTAGCATTTGATTTCCAGATAAAATCCGTTCGATAAATAAAAAAAAAAAAAAACACATAAAAACAACGTTTGCTCTGAAGTTCGCAGTAAGTAAATGATAAAAACCGTTATTTACCTTAAGTATTCCGTCGATGGTATTCTAAGCGGCTAAAGACTTATTTCTCAATTATTGTTTATTTTCATAACGGTAAATTTGAGTGCTTCAATTTTATCTGCACTAAACAAAAGAACGTTTCAGCCGAAAACCACAGTGTAACCTGAACCGAATTTCGACTGTCAATTATCGATTGTGGAGTAATTTCAATTCCAAAATCCATAGATTTATATAATATAATATAATATTATATTGTATTGTTTATACAGTGAACAAAATTACTAGAGGGTTAATTAAAACATGATTTAAAAAAAAATAAACATTTTTTAATAAACTTTTTTTTTTTGCTAAAAGCGTAATTCAAACTATTTTAAAATAATGACCTTTTTTTAGTTTTGTATACCTACTTCATTGTTTACAAACATTAAAATACTTAAAGTTTCTATTTTTATAATGTGTGTATATTGATTTATTAATGCACAAATTAAAATTAATCTCATTATATTATATAGTATTATTTTTGTTTATTATGTAATTTTATACAGCATCACGAGTTTTTATATTGTACTGTAAACATTTAAATATGATTTTATCTGAGCCCTACATGAGCGTTTACTTAATAAATAAATAAATAGTATCTTCTTATATAATAAAGTCGTGTTAGTTACACTACTTATGATTTATGAACGGCTGGACCGATTTTGATAATCTCTGATTTGTTGGATTTATCTCCGCCCCGAATAGCAGAATAACAATTAAAATATCCGAAAAATTCACGTGAAAAATGTTTAGGGGTTTTTAGATATATTTGATACGAATAACTAATTGATTATTTATTTATTTGTGTTTATCTGTTTATTCAACGGTTGCTACGGAAAAGAAAACTATCATAGTTATTATTATCACTATTATTTACACAATTGCTGTAGGTATTTATTTATTTGGGATACCTTAGTAACACGGATAAAATTAAAAGAAAAACTATATGCTGGGTTGGTACAGTCAAACTATATCTATGATACCATTGTGGCGTATTTAAGTTTGCTGGAAAGACGCCTGGATTGTGTTGCCTTAATGGCGAAGTGAAATTGCCATTATTGACCCCACCACCTGAGCTAATGCCTCCAATGCTTAGTGGCAAAACACAAAAATCACGACATTTCTTACTGAAAACTCGAAAATACAATAGATGTTTTCAAATAACTTTATTTAGGGCACACATTATCGAAGAAAATGGATTTAATCCGACATTCAAGGTAATTTATGTTGAATAGAATAAGTGTTAATTTTCTTTAAAAGATAAGATCTAAGAAAAAAAATTTGCTCAAATGTAGTTTGTTAAATCTCTGTATTTGTCTATAAAAAAATAAGGTATGATAAGGCAAATCTCGATCTTGAGGAGAATGAGGAAATACATAACCAGGCTTTACTCTTGATCGGAGACATGTGTAACCTCATGTGCGGAAGTTTGTTAGTCAGATTAGGAATGCCAGCGCCAGATCGTGGAATGAATGGCGCATTTAATCAAAAGTTGGAGCATGAACGTGAAGACGATCGACATAAATTAAACCAATTAGTTCAAACGAATCTACCTCTAATGAAACCCCCAAAAGAAGAAAGTATATGATACATTAATGAAGGAAATTTATTATGGTAATGGTGGCTTATTTTTCTTGAATGACCCCGGTAGAGCTAGGAAGACATTCCCTATGTCATTGATTTCGGCCACTGTTCGTGCGAGATCAAACATTACGGAAGCAGTTGCTTCTTCTGGAATAGTGACCACATTGTAAGAAGAAAGTCGTACCGCTCATACAGCGTTAAAATTGCCGTTAAACCTTCAAACTATAGTACAATCGACGTGTAACACTGCGAAACACTTCGCAATAGCCAATGTTTTAGTAAAGTCTAAAATAATCATATGAGATGAATGAACAATGAGACGTAAACGTGTATTGGAAACACATGACAGAACATTGAATGCGCAATGATTCAAGATGTTTTAGAGGCACGATGAATTTACTGTCTGGCAATTCCCGCCAAACACTGCCAGTTATTCAAAGATCGACTGCTGCTAATGAAATAAATGCTTGCCTCAAATCATCAAATCTGAGGCACTATGTGAAAAAACTTCAGCTGTCAACAAACATAAGAATTGCATTGCTGAGCGATTCATCTACTCAAGATTTCTCCATGCAACTGCTGAATATCAGTAATGGCCGTATTCCTGTCGACGACTCGAGCGGATTGATTTCATTTCCTCCGAATTTTTGCAAATTTTGTCTCATTGAAAGACGAGTTTATCAACTAAGTATTCCTGAACATCATTGCTAACTACAAAAATAATGAATGATTGAGTGAACAAACAATTTTAGAGTCTAAGAATACAGATGTGGATGACTTAAATTTTGTAATTCAGAATCAAATCGTTGGTACTCTGCATTCATTCAAATCTAATGATTGTTTAACAAACGAAGGCGAAGCCACCAACTATCCAACTAAATTATTAAACTTCTTGGATGTGCCTGGCTTACCACCGCAAAATGTACAACTAAAAGTGGGTTAAGTAGTCATCATGCTTAAAAATTTAAACCAACCAAAACTATGCAATGGAACGCGTATGGTGATAAGAAAACTGGTGATCAATGTGATTTACACGGCGATACTCAAAGGAAAATTTAAAGGTGAAGATGTTCTCATTCCGAAGATTCCGATGATCCCAACAAATATGCACTTTAAGTTTAAATTAATTCAATTTCTGATTAATTTTGCATTTACCATGACGATTAACAAATCACAAGAACAATTCTTTAGTGTTTGTGGTCTGAATTTAGAACAGGCATGTTTTTATCATGTTCGATTGTACGTGATATGTTCACGTGCGGCAAACCATCAGCTTTATTTGTTTTTGCCCCTAATAACAAGATGAAAAATAGCATATTATAATGTGCTTCACTGAAGAAAATCAACCCATTGTGCAAAATATATAGCTTCATCAAAGGAAATGTCTTATCGACCTCCTATTGAAATACTTAATGTTTGTAGTTTTATTAAATTTGTATTTTACTTAATATATACTATCTAATGAACTATTGAACTTAATACATTTTTTGGATTCATTTTATTACGTTAATTAAAATTATAAATTAAGTTTAGCTAAAAGGTATCACTACATTCATTAACTGTTAGGTAGTACGAAAATTGTTGGGTCTGCTAGTGAAAGATATAAACCGTATAAATTTAATTTTATCAATGAAACTTTTGATTTTTTTTTTTAAATAAAATCGTATTTAATTGCGAATATAACAACACACGCTTCTTACTTCTGTTCGTCAAATAATCAATTAAACAATTTTTTCTTTATGTTTAACAATAAATTTAAATATAGTAAGCATAACATAATTTTAAAATATTGTATATTCTGATGAAATTTGATTAAAAAAATTTAAATATAACTAAAAGCTGGTTTAAGCCCGTCGAAAATGCTTTAAACAAAACAATTTTCTACATATCTTTTTAAAGTTTTTAACGGTTTTAACAATAACAATTTTAAACATCTCAACCCTGGGCAAGCCAACTCGTGCAATATGAAATTTGATCGAGCGTTTTATGTTAGCTCTTAGGCGTATAAACTTAGTAGCTGATGTTTAACAGTTTCTGTGATAAAACCAAAAAAGACTAAGCTGTATAGTGTTTACCAAACGTATATAGTCGCCGTCGTCGTACAGATACTTAAGTTTATAAAACGACGAATTAATGTCAAGTGGATACCCCGTGAAACACGAAAGAAACGAAAAGCGACGTTGACTGCATGTTGCTGTTGGTTGATTTTATTAGATACCGTAACGATAAAGTTTTTATATAAATTCCGCAAGAAATCATTTTTAAACTATGTGACATATTTTTTTTCGAAAATTCCGTAATCTGTTTAAATATAATTTGTGTAGTTTTTTTTAATTACACGTTATATGACATTGTTTTGCATAACAAATCGGAGTTTATTTTCGAATGAAGATATTCGAAATTCACAAAAAAAAAGCAATTATACTAGTACTATAATAATAACACCATATTTCAACGCACTAATTTATTTCAGGAGTCATAATTTAACCGCGCAATTCAAACCAGTCAGAAAAAAAAGTGTAAACACATTCTCCGCTTTATACACGTATTTCCATCATATATATTAGATTCTAAGTGAAATGAGGAATGTATTGGTTTTATAATAGTGTTTTTGTGTTATTTTTTTGTGTCTGTGTATAACTTTTCTATCAGAAATCTTGTTCCAATCAAAAACTTTTTAGGAACTTTCTTGTAAAATGAAAAAGTCTATTTTTGCTTTTCCTTGTGATTTTCTTAATAAATCGGAAAATTTAGAATTTTGGAAAAATCCGAATTCAATATTATTTTATTCGTGTATAGGACTATTCGAAATAGAATGTAAAGTTCGAAAGTTAAACATGAATTTAAAAAAAAACAACAACAAAATAAAAGCAGTGGTAGTCACTAAACAAGTATATAGTAAACAATGAGAAAGCCAAATATCAACGTATCACTAAAAGGAAAAAAATAGAGCGATAGTAAATAATAGACCAATTCAAATAATACTTAAGGAGTCTAATAAATAATGACGTGCATACGAACAGTGGGAGAAATAATAAAACGTCGAATAGGCTAAGTGAAAAAGGCTTTTAGAAAAGAGACCAATTTATTAAAATCTAGGAAAAACGAGAAAATGTTAATTATAATTTATAATCTATATTGTTGTGTATCTATGAACACGCACTCTAAATAAAACAAGAATATATACTAAAAAGACTTTATACATTTGAGAAAACAAAAAAAAGATGATATTGAGTACAGTAAAAGAAAAAATAAATATTGAGGACAATAAAATAATAATACAGTAGGGTATTTTATAGACATATTATAATACTCTGAAGACGTATTAAGTCATTTGGCATTAAAAACCGTTTAAACATTTAGTTTTTTGACCAACTCCATCCATACTAATGCAATTCGTTTAAACCAAATAAACCAATACTCGATATCTACGTTTATTAATAATATTGTGAAGTATATATAAAATGTAACTTTTTTTATACATTTGCGGACCGTTTGCATGACACGTGAATATCTTAAAACCCTTGGCGCGATAAAAGAATTCTCGATGAGTTAAATATAACGTTTAAATCAACTCTCTATTTTCTATGTACTGTACCCTTGGAGTATGATTCATTATTTATATAGGACACTCTAGGCATGGTTTCTTGCTCCAAAATTAATTGCAGGCCCGAAATAAACCACTAAGCTTTGTGCCAAAAGTATTAAAAATTCTCTGTCCACCCTCTTCACTATATTAACCTGTCTCCACAAAACTCAATCTCGCATCTAGACCACCAGAATTGGAATAGGTCTCATGACCTTGATTTTACAATGATGTTTTTTTCTAGTGAACAACTTTTCAACCAGAAATTTTACTTCGATATACAATAATAATACTTTCTCTAAAATTAAATCTGGTTGCGGAGATAATTTTTTGTTTTTTTCTGGGAGTTTTCTCAATAAATGGGAAAAACTCAGAAAAAACATGGAAAAAATGGGAAAAAATTTAGGAAAAATGGGAAAATAAGTAGAATATTAAACAATTATCATTAAAGGAAATATATAATGCATATTTATTTATTTTACTATAATATGACATATATATTGTTAGCAAAATAACACTGTCAACCGAATTCCGCTCAACATCGTTTTTTCATTAGTTATGGTTAATCGTTACTTACAGATATACATTAAATTACCTATAACAGTGGCTGCACCCGTCCCTATTATCCTAGGACAGCTTTTTTTTCTTCATGATTTAATTTCTGGTGCCATTAGTTTTTCGATCCCCAACATTCGCTTATTAGTTTAAAAGTCCCGTGTCGTTTTACACGTCATTAAACACAATTCCTTATATTCCACATCACACCACACCGACTTCCAGAAAAACGAGCCTATTAGTCCGTCTTATGAACTCGACCAATAACGGCATTCGTCCATTCTCGTTCATTTAATTAATTTGGACGTCGTCTTATTATGCCAGTTACATTCCTACAGTTTTTTTTAGCCAGAGTTATCTATTACAATATCATAATAAATAACGCGCGGAATGCGATTATATTTACATTTTGTTTCGCGTATGATACGCATGTTTTTTTTTCGATGTGTTTTACAAGTCTCGCGATAACGTTACGCGACCAACGAATATACCATTAAGTATACGAGTTTTGTTTTCGCTCGATTTATATTGTAGCAGTTCATCCGCGGACGTCGTTTGCGAATTTAACGCATTATTATACGATTATAACATTAATATATTATCATCATTACCTTTATTATCGCGTAATATTATCATCGTGCGTCGTTTCCCGGGCCCGAGTAAATCTGAATTATTTTATTCGCGCGCATCGGATCATCGGTCACCGGGCGAAGAACCAGATATCCACTTTCCCGCGCACCGTCACATCGCCGTTCCGGACGACTTTGTCCTCTTGGCGACCCCTCCGTCTTGACATCGTTTCCGCGGGGCTAATCGCTTAAACTCATCATCAATTTATGCTACCCCTTCCACAACCACCCTCCTCCCCATCCGATCTCTATGATATACCTACCCTAACCCTGGCTGGCGACATTCACCCCGCACAAAGTTTCATCCGACACATTAATATCCTTTATCGCGGCTTATTTATTCTCCCCGGTCGTGGTTCATTGACCTGCGTTCAACGGCAACTTTCTTAGTCTCGGCACTGCAACTATTATCATACTGTAAATAATATACGAGTGCAGTTTGGTCGGCGGAATTTTTATAATCGGGTCTCGTTGGCTCCTATTGTCATTAGAGAGCTAAAGACTTTTGGTATTTGCATTTATTTTTCCTCAGTAATAATAATAATAATAATAAAAAAAAAAAAAAAAACCAACAACAACATTAAAGTCAAATAGGTATAGTAATGTCAAGTTCATGACGTAAAGAATCTAAACACACAATTGTATATAACATATATTTGAACATTTTATAAACTCTGGTTTTATTAGAGTATAATTTTTAGAATTTGACCTCTTTTTATCATAGTATACGAATATTAGTAATAAATAGTAAATAATAAAATAATAAAGTAAAAACACAATTATTAAAATACTTATCGATAAATAAAGTAAATAAATATAGTAAATAAAAATAAATAAAAGATTTATATATAAAAATAAAATGAATAAACGATTGAATGTGTCACCTGGAATATTATGATAATAATAATATTATGATAAGTGTATTCGAATTTATGTATCCGGTTTCGAATTAAAAATTCATCATCAGGTAAATCATAGTCAAAATTTAAAACGCGACTGAATATAAAAAATTTAATGAAGAAAAACATAAAAAAATTAATTCAAAATATTTCAAATTGGTCACATAGAATATATAAATAATTTATTTTAATAAGAGAGATTATTTAAAATTAGTTATTATTAGACAAAGATATGTTTAGAAATATGAATTATTTGGTTATTATTTATTATTTA